CCGCTGGGCCCTCAGACGTTTTAATTTGGAAATCGGCAGCCAGTAAGGAGGAGACTCCAGCGGCGGCGCCGACCGTGCGACCAATCAACGGGGAAAACAATTCATTACCGGGATAATAACGTCGAGTGCAACTTAATTGTTTCTCATTTTCGACCATTTTTCGGCCCAATTCTTGAGCCCATCGTGGGTCTATGGCTTGTTCTGCGGCTGCCCGCGCTGATCGCTCTTCTGCGGCAAGGCACATTACAGCGGATAGGCAACCCGCCCAGGTGCTGCAGTGTTTTTGGACCCCCCGGACGGGACCGGGAGCCTTCTCCCCCTCCCCCGGGCATGCGAGGGATGGTGCTTGTACCTGCGAACCTCGAAAGAAGGTACGTGCGTCTATGGCTGGGGTACCCCGGGGTACTCTGGCCCTAGAGCTCGTGTACCGGTGGTACTTCATCCCGGGGTATAGAACCACGCCCTGGTTCAACCATCCCTAGCCATACACTAGCCGTGCATGGACCAACTTCGGTTTACTACCCTCCTCCCCTGTATGGGCGTAAGCAGCTAGTCTGTCAATTCCAATGTGTACGTACATTGTACACTTTAAATAAAGTGGACATACCTATCTATGTCTGCTGTGCAAAAACTCACATGCAACCATTAGTATACATGACTTGTACACTTTAAAAGATGTGTACATGGGCATGTACACAATAATTGAAGCAAACATGCTATGTACGCTTTGTTTAAAGTGTACAATTTACACTTTTTTAATTGACAGAGTAGAATACGAAGGAGTGCAGGTGCAGTGGGTAGATCTTAATCAAAAATAAGTCTGCTCATAACAACTAGTATACCTCTCTCAGCCGCTCTTTTTTGTCCTTCCTCGTTTAGTGCATCTGCGTAAATGTAAATATCATCCTTTTCTAAATTCTTTTTCTGTGTGTCCTAGGTGCCGTAGCTACTAACGCCTCCTCCCCTCGCGTCTGTTAACAAGAGGCGCTGCGCTCCCCCGGAGGTTGGGAGGTTGGAGGTGTCCGGACAGCGCGCCGCGCGCCCGGGTCCACGGTCCACTCCACGTCTCCACAACAAGCAAAAAGTGAGTTACTGACCTGGTTCGTCGAGTTCCGAGAGGTCCCTGGGGTCCCGAGGGACTGCCGCCGATATCCCGCCCGCCGCGCGGGCCAGCGGCAGCAGCAGCAGCATCAGCAGCGCGATTCCTAGTGTCCACCCGGGTACTACTTTGGTCCTGTCGCGGAGCCGCTTCCGGTGCGGGGGCACCTGCGTCACGTGGTGGTGGGCGCGCGGCAGCAGCGGCAGCACCGCCGGCGCGCGATCCGTCATCCCCGGCCGCAGAGCGCAATCACATTCATCCCGGGCTGGAGGCGGGCCCGGGCCCGGGCCGCGGGAGTCAGGCGCGCGCTGCAGCCCGGCGGCGGCCCGGCGCCCGGGGGCTGCATGCAGCGGCGGCAGCTGCACTGCGGCGGGCATCCATCAGCTGCGGCAGCAGCGGAACGCCTCGGTGGTGCGCCCGAGCGGCGGCCGCGGTGGTGCGGCCTGCTGCCGCTGGAACGCCCCGGAACGCCCCGGTGGTGGACGGTCGGCCCCGGGGCACATTCTCGGCCGGGCGGCCGTGGGCCATGGGCGGCGCATTCCTGGAACACGGAGATAAACTCGACTCACTATAAATTCGCGCCGTGTTACCTAGCCTAGAAAGATTACGTCGTCCCCGGCGCGCAGCCACGCCCCCTTATCCGCACGACGACACGCACAAAACTTTGGCGTCTTATTTGCACGGCAGTTATTCGCCGGTGGAGGTTGGCGCGGCTCTCTCTCGGGCTCCGTATCGAGATGGACGGACGCGCTGGATTAGGGTTCACTAATCGGCCGCGCGCCGGCGCTAGTGGCGCTAGTGGCGCTAGTGGCGCTAGTGGCGCCAGTGGCGCCCCCGGCCAGCAAATTGTTCCAAGTTGTGCACTTGCCGCCCCCGGCACTGGCCAAGTTTGTTGAAACGAAAGTTATGCCTTGTCGGAGAGCATCGAAAGACGCGAGTCGAGGGGGCGGAAAGGGGGAAAGGGGGGTTAACGAACGTGTGGAGGGTAGAGAGAAGTGGGGGGGAGGGGGCAAAAGGGTTAGGAAGACTGAGCCAAGAGGTTGAGGGCCAACTGCACAAGTAGGCGGGTAAGGGGCAAGGGTCAGAATGAAGGGTGGGGCAAAATAGGGCGGTGCGTGATCGCCTAGACGTTGGTACTGCGACCGGACAACGCAAACAGAGCGCGCTTCTATCTCGATGGCGGGAGGATTTAAACTCGTCAGGGGGGGTCAGCTGAACCGCTGCGGCGGCCCACCCCCACTATCGCAACAATCAGCCAAAAACCGTCGGGTCGAGTGGGAGGGGTTGATGTGTGCGAGTTAGGGGGCGGTCGGCAGGAGTAGGGAAGGGGGAGGGGAAAAGCTTCAGGGCCTACTTTGACGCGTCAACGTCGCAAGAAGCTGATGTTCCTTGAATTAAAAATTAATTGTGTAATGTAACCCACTTCTCCCGTCTAGACGGGTTCTTAGCTATATTTCGTAGCGCTCACCCATCACCCACGCCATCACAGCCCATCGACCCATGCGACAAGCAGCGGTCCGATCCCATGCACTGAGGTGTGCCGAATCTATCCCCGGCCAGACCCAACTCGACCCGATCCTCCCCAAGTACTACACTCCCATTGACAGCGACTTAAACTGGCAAACACCACAAGCCACCCCGTGGGGTGCGGCGGCCCCGCGGGTCTCGCCTCCAATCTGGAAATAATTGACCCGCCACCACGTCGTGGCAATGGTATCGGCTGGATCCTCCTCTCCGGCTCTCCCTAGCCCTCTAGCTCTCTCTCGCTCGAGCGCTCTCTCTCTCTCTCTGTCGGACGGTACCTCCACCCTCCCTCTCTCCCAGGAAGAGCAGCGCCAGCAAATGCAACGGGTAAGGGGGACATCCTCTGCCCTTTTTTTCCCCGCCCATTCCCGCCACTGCCACGGCCTCAGCCACGGCCGAGCCTTACTTCCCCTCCCCCTCCTCCTTGTGATTAGCCCCGCGCCCGCGTCCCTCGGGATTGATCACCGCGATTAATATTTCTTGCTTTGCCGCCGGCCGGCCGGGCCCGGCCCTTGGATAACAACCCCGTTTATCACCCGCAGTCACACACGATGCGCGGCGGCGAGGCCCCCCAGCTGCTATTCCCCCATGTATTCATGAGGTCGAAGCGGAGCAGCGCGAAGAGCAGCAGAACGGATTTGCGAGTGGGCAGGCCCCGGCAGGCGCGCCACCCCTTGCGCCTTGCGCTCGCCGAGCGAGGAAAGAGGTTGCACGCAGCAATTCAAGTAGATCGCCACTCTTTTCCGATACTGAAAGTTTCGATGCGGTGAGACAACAATGAAGCGTTCTATACACAAAAAGCACGTGGATTCTTGCATAAATATAGCATCTCCTTGCATCGGCGTGGGCTTGTACTTTTGCACTGCTTGCACAGATGCCTGCCATGGCCGGCGAGGCCCAGGGTACGTGCTGGTTGTTTCCTGGTCCGTGCAGCCTGGCACACCGTTCTCCCCTTTCTCTTCTAGTCCTCCCGGTGCCACGAGCTGCACGGGTCAACAGCCCATCCCCCTCGATCAACAAGCAAGGCTCGCTCAGACAAGGGGAGGAGCACCCCGGCAAAAAAAGAAGTGGAAACGGCTTTAAAAGGGGGGGGGGTGCATACACAGCCTCCAGCGGAGATTTTGAAGGGATTCGGGAGTTTTGGGGAATTCGATTTTCATTGTTTTGTTTATTATTTCTGTCCCCTTTCATCTAAGACGCAACTAGGGGCGTATCCACGATTTTCTTTGAGCCTGTGGGGAAAGACCACGACGCGTTCGCATGAGAGAAGGATAAATTAAAATCGCTGATACAATCGCTCATCAGGCTCCAGAAAAGGACATCAAAGATATTGCGTTTGCGTTGTTGCCGAACTAGCTTGTGCATTTTCTATAGGACAGCTAAAAATTAGCAAAGGTGGCTGTGGCTGATGTTTTCTCCCAAGGACAATCTAGCAAATGTTTGGTTTGCAGTGAAGCCGCTGGCCATGCCACTAAGCTTTATGGAGTCGCACCCCCACCACCGCCTTTCCCCCTGTTACTTTGGGTTCGGCGCGCGTTCTCTTTCCCTTCCGACGCAGAGGCAGCAACACCAAACCACCGGACCCTTTTAAAAGGATCCACAAAAGTCGCCGTGAATTAGAGATCTACACCCGGCCCCAGTCTTACGGCAGTCCGTTACGTCGTTACGCCCGGCCGCTACTTGGAAACAACGAAACGGGGTCAAAAGCAACCTCCGGGCACTGCACACACACACACTCACACGAGCACCGCGTCTCGTGGTGGGAATGAAGAGGGTACTCACCGATAAGGGATAGCTCCCTGGTGGGCTTTACGATTGGCACGGTTGGGGCGGGCGGGACAGGGGTAGACGCAGGCACAACACACACCACTGTTGGCGGTTTTCAAAAAAATAAAATAAATCAAAATCACACTTTTCTCGCTGCGCGTGAGTTTTAGAAGAGGGCTAGCCCTCTAAAAAAATTGCTGTAAATTTACAGCAAAAATGTGATTAATTTTGTTAGCAGCATATACTGTATTTTTACAGGCCTTACTGTAAAAAAGCAGCGTTAATGAAAATGTCGGACCAAAAGCAGTAACTTTGTTTTGATCCTGTAAAACAAAAATTGTAATAATACGACTGTCCTGTTTTGGAACGAAATGTGCTGCTAACAAAATTAACCTCTCTTTTCCTGTAAATGTACAGCAAAGTAATACGTAGTAGTTTGTGTTGTGGGCCACCATGGGCCAAATATCACAATTTTTGAGAGTGTTCAAATGAAAACAACATTTCTGTTACATTACAGGAGTGTCAATAAGGCAGTAAATCGTTAGGTGACGGTTATTTTTAACAGTGCTCATACATGGTGTTCCAAAATGGACCAAGCACTTTTTCAAATACCGCGACGCGCCCAACGAACACTGTCGTGGATCTCTTTGCGCGACATTCAACACTGCCCGATCTCCTAGCGCGCCGCTCAACACTGTCTGATCTCTTTGCGCGACATTCAACATTGTCCTATCTCCGAGCGCGCCGTTCAACACTGGCTGTATCACCTTAAGAGAAATAACAGATACTAAATAACAGATAACAGATCCGTTTCAGGAAGGTTCTTTATGCTGTTTGTCGGACCGCAAAAACAAAAAGAAATTGAGTTTGATTTGATGCTTATTGAGCCATAAATGTTGAAAATGCAAAACTTGGAAAGGTTCTAAACCCTCCTTGATTTTTTTTTTTTTTTTTTTTGAAGCACGACTTTGTTATTCCAGTTAAAGCGCGCGAGTGGTTTGCTTACTCGACCGGGGTACTGTGGTCAGTGACGATCGAGTGGGCGCCCCGCACATGTGCGGTACATTGTGACTAAAAACAGTACGGGGACTGTGGGCAGGTAGTTTAACGTAACGTGTGATTCTGAAACGTAAAAACAGGCGTGGCGTCATCTCTACTTCTTTTCCACGATATGAGCAATTGTTTGGCTTATCTACAGCGCGAATGGGTTCATATGCCAATGCAAAAAGACGCTCTTTATATTTCGCCCCTAACGGCATCTCCTGTCTCGCCACTATCACACACGCATGCACGCACACACACACAAACTCGGCCCGAGAGAAGGCCAAGCTGGTTATCCAAAGCTTTCAGCTCAGGCCTGCTGAGCCTATTGGGGGGATGCTGGAGGGATCTGAAGGGGATGAGGCTGGGCGGCTGGGACTGCACTTCGGCGGCGAGAAGGGGTGGCGGGGCTCCTTACCACCTCACGGGCGGTGCGGCGCGGCGTCCATGCTTCGCAAGTGTTGTCGGCATTTAGATGCAGCATACAGTCGGGCCGTTACGCAGCCGAGTGACATACATACGATTCGCACGTGCTAAACATCCCTCAGCTCTCGTAGTTTAGAGCCGCGAGCGTCGTACCCGGCGCGCGTGCCGTACCCGCCGCGCGTGCCGGCCCACCCGGGCTTATTTCATCCAAGACGACCCCACCCAGCGCGCCTCGCCCAGCGCCCAGAGTGGCCCCAGAGCCGAGCGGGGGGCACCCCTTCGATTTGCGCCACTTTTAATCATTTCCTTGCAGCTCCAGGCAGCGCGGTGGTCGGCCAACCACCGCCATCACCCTCCCCTGGCAGACCAATTAGTACTAATAAAAAATTTATAGCGCGAACCGTTGAATGTTTAATGCAACACTCCACACAGTTTCAGTGTTTTTGCGGGTCCGAGCGCCGCGCGGCGCCTCGGCTCGGCCTTCCCTTCCGACCCGGGGCCGCGGGAATACAAATCGGCGCGCCGGTTCTTTTTGTTCGCCCCGGCTGCACAATGGTCCCCGAAAACTTGAAAATTAAGTGAATTACGGAAAGCTTTGTGGGTAATAATAAGGTCTGTGCGCCCCTTCGTTATCCTTTCGCTTTCCTTTGAGTTCCGCTCTGCGCGCTGCCGCTGCCGCAGCCCGCCCCTCGACCACTCACGCGTTCGCCCTTGCTAGCGGACACAGATCGCTCCGCCACAATCGTATCCCGCCGCACGACCACGCACGAGTCCGCCATTGCT